TAGGGCAAATTTTTAAAAATCTGAATGTTTTTAAGGTTGATGAAGTAGTTTTCATATGGTAGATGATTATTTCAAAAATAATGAAAAATTGAAAAAATTTAAAAAAAAACTTTTTTTTTCAAGAATCTTCACCCCACACGCTATAAAATTTGAAATTGTTATATCTTGCATATAGAAAAGTGTTTTTTTTTAAATAGATTTATTTAGTCGAGTTCGAATTCTAAATACACTGTTCTAGTGCTAACTTACTGCTTTAATTCATAGGAGTGGCAATTCTCTAATAAATAGGTAGATATGGGGAGTACAAGGGGTTTGCTAACTAGATCCACGCATATTGTTCCAACCAGTCATTTTAAAAAACAAACGAGACTGCTAGTGTATCAACATTTTTACAAAATCATCCTTTTGTAAGCCCCGTAACGCTAATATAAACAATCACAGGTATAATATCGGTTTAAACTTGATCTCAAGACAGCAAAATCTCTTAAATGGTATATATAATTTATGTGATAAGGCTTAGTTAAAAATTCGAAAACTGACTGAAAAAAAAAACACCCCAAGCATAACTAAATTTGACCTTTCTTCGACTGTTGAAATGAAAATTCTAAATTTAAAAACGAATTATTGCGTTCTCTTTTGAAGACATAACGATACTGAATAGTTTGCATTTAGCTCAATTTTTTTCACAGCCGAAAAGAACATTAGTGTTACAACAACTCCAGCTGATTTCGGTTACTTCAAAGCAAAGTATTGAACTCCCACTTAACTCCCAACTTAACTCCCAACAGAACTTGTTGGGAGTTAAATCTAGTATTCAGATACCGCCATTTCAGTCATGACTCGCGTTAAAAAAATTTTTATAAGTAAATCTGCTCGTAATAGGGCAAAGTTTTGAAAGTTCCGACTGTTTTTAAGGTTGATGAAATAGTTTCCCTTTCATATGATAGATGACATTTTTGAAAAAAAAGGAAAAATGAAAAAAATTTCAGAGAGTTTTCTAGATATCTTCACCCCACACGCTATTTAAAAAAATCATAGGGATATAATGTGCATATAGAAAAGTTTTCTTAATAAGCTTCTTTCATCCGAAATTATTTCCAAGCAGATAGCAGCAAGTTTAGTATTCTCAGTGCTTTTATTTATGTGGTGGCAAACCTAACTATATCCTTGCAAAATATTACAAACTGTCATCTTTCCAAATAAACAAGGCTGCTCGTAGATCGCGACGAGTTCCAGAATGTTTCAACTGCCTCTTAAGGCCAATTGAAAAATTTCGTTGTTTGAATAAAAGACAAAAACGGAAAAAAATCTAAACGTCATCTTCATTACATCCTCTCCAACGGTCTGTTTAGCATCTGTTATGACTTTAAAACGACTAAATTGACTCATTACAATTTGGTTTGCATTAAATTGCCACTTAAGCGTGTTATAAGAACGTGTTATATCGGGCCTTAGTTATCCCAAAATGACCTTAGTTATCGGTCCTTAGTTATCACAGAGTAGCATTTTCAAAATCGCGAAAAGTTACAAAAAACAGCATTCTCAGATGGTATAAAATGTTTTGTCGAAAATTCTTAATTGAGAAATCGAAAAGTGACTGAAAAAGAAACCACCCCGAGCATAAATATTTTGCGCTTTCTTAGAAAGCTGGAAAAAAATTTAAAATATATATATTGGATTATTATGTTCGATGTTTTGTAGTTTGCAAAGTATTATCATATCGAATCTTTCGCATTTAGCTTAAGTAACTTTAGAGTAAAAAGTATCTTCGTTGTTAAGATCCTTCTCGTTTTTTCAACGAGCCGACTTCAGGTACTTCAAAGCGCACTCGTACGGAGTTAAGTGTAAAATTGAGATAACGGTATTTCAATCGTGACTTGCGTTCAGAAAAAAAATTTAAACAAATCTGCTTGTATCAGACATTTTCAAAATTTATCTGGAATATAATATAAAATTTAGCTGCTTGCTAACAATTTAAAAATCTATCTAGATTTTTTTCAATAACATCACCCCACACGCTATAAAAAGTTCAAAGTGATAGATTTCGCTCCTAGTAAAAAATCATGTATGGCAAATAAGCTTCCTTCAACCGATTTGGAACGATTTCTAAGACGGATTAAACCTCCGCCTACACGTTAACAGCGAAATATATCGCGCTTTATCTGTCCCAAATTGGCCAAAATGGCAATCTTTAAACCCCCATAACATCACGACAAAACTGCTCGTATATAATGTTAAAAAGAATATTCAAGTCGAGTTCCCAATACACTGTTCTAATACCAGCTTACTGCTTTTATTTATAGGGGTGGCAATTCTCTAATAGATTGGTAAAAATGGGGAGCATAGGTGGTTTGCAAACTAGATCCACGCTTAAAATTCCAACCAGATTTTTTAAAAAACAAACAAGACTGCCAGTGTATCAAGACGAGGCACTGCATGTGGCGATTGCACCTTAAGGTAAATTAAAAGCTTTCTTGTATAAATAATTGACAATAAATGGAAAAAAAATCAAAAAAGGAGCTTAACTTTTATTTCAATTCATCCCCCCATATGCTATGTAAGGCACAAAGGGTTTGCTTAGCGTCTGTTATGGTTTTAGAAGGACTAAGGTGCTGGATTTATTTTAATTTAGAACGCAACATTCCGTCGCTTACGCGTGTTATAAGAAGGCATCATTTCGCTTGTTAGTTATCCTACATTGACCAATTTTGCAATTTTCAAACAACTTAATTTGCAAGAAATTATCAGAAAAAATTTTTGTTGTTACGTTCACTCTCGTAAATAAGTTCTTTCCAACCAGCCGACTTTGGGCACTTCGACGCGCTCTTGTAGGGTGTTAACTGTTGTATTGAGATAACACCATGACGGCACATTTGTATGAGGGCACAGCTCTGAATGTTCTAAAAATTTTTGATGCCGATGGAGTACTGTCCACTTTAAATACAGGGATAAGATTTCAAAAATAATCAAAAAATTAGAAAAAAAAATTTGAGATTTTTTCAAAATCATCCGCTACGTAAAACACAAAGTGATATATTTTGCATAATAGGAAAGTTCTAAAAACACTCAATAGTAAACTTGAATTTGGATGTATTCTAAGACGGATTAAATCTCGACTTACTCGTTATTAGTTCGTTAATAGAATTTTGCACATCAGTAGTCCCAAATTGGTCAAATTAGCGTTTTTCAAACCCCATATTTTGCATAAAATAAACTACGGTAAATTTATTTAAAAAATTTAGCTCAAGAAAACGAAACTTTTTGAATGATAGAAAAAAGTCTTAAAAATTGCTAATTAAAGAGTCAAAGTTTTTCTGCAAAAGAAACCAACCTGAGCACAAATATTTCGTTATTTTCGTCTAAAATAATTGATAAAAAACCTTTGCAGCGGCGACAAAATTTTATAAAATAAAATTTTTTTGAAATAGAAAGAAAACAACAAAAAATTTTACACGCACATCTATTTTTTTGTCATTAGTAGAAACAACATTTGCACGTTTTCAGAGCCAACCAAGTTATGACAAACAGGTCTTCGTTATAATTTCTCAATCAACCTCAATTGACACATTCGTGGTGGCTGATATTGCACCAATTCTAAATTTTTTCAACTAGTTACTATTGCATGATAAACTAAGGAGAAAGTCAAGCAGGATGCCCGGTTGCTTTGCAGCGAATATAGGAAAATCTGACCAGAATAATAGAAAAAAAACAGCCTCTTTTTCAAAATTGGTCAATTTTTGTTCCTGGTGTGATTAGAAGATATGAACGAAAGCCTACAACATAGGCGTATCCGATATTTTTAGTAACTTAAGCTAACTCGACAACAGTTCTCCACAAAAATTGTATATAAAAATAAAAAAAACATTGAAAATATATCTTGATATATCATTGGACCCATTTTGATTATGATTTGTGGAACCTTGATTTTGCACGGAAAACCAAAAAAGATAATTTGAACAGACCCAAAAACAATGGTCGCAAGCAACAATGAGGAAAGCCTTTTTTTACCGCAATTAAAGTAGCAACTAAAATTCCGACCACAATAATGTTTTTATTTTCAAATTTTTTATCACCGTTTTTGTTCGTGTTTTGATGAAAATATCTAAACAAAAGCCTATTCGATAGTCCTAAGAATTCAGCAAAATTCGATAGGAACTTTCCTTAAAAAATGATTAGAACAACAATAAAAATTTAAATATGTAATCAAAATTAGTTTTTCACCGCTTAAATATATAACTATCCTATTAATCTAAGATTACTTGGTTCTTCGAAATTTGTCTAAGAAACAAAAAGTTCAAACTGGTTTTTCTCGGCATTGAGTTTTTTTTCTTGGAAAAATGGTAAAAAAACTTAAACACCCTTCCGAGTTTGAAATAGAAGACATAAAAAGAAGACAACATCCCTTCCGAGTTTGAATGGATGTAACAACAAGAATTGACAGACGCTGAACCCAGAATGTGGATTTTCTTTAGGTTTTGAATTTTTAAAGACAAAGATGCAATAACTGGAGCTAGGAAACCAATTTTACAGCGAAAAGCTTAGTTTATCACAGCTCGGTACGCAATTTTTGCTCTAGTTGTTTTCAGTTCGGCGAATAGTTAGAACCTAAGATTTAATCATGCAGACTGATTTAGTCTTTTAAAGACAGTCTCTTGATATGGAAAAAAGTTGAAAAGTAGTAAAAACCAAAACATACACAAATACAAAGATCCTAAGTTTCAGTGATCGAAACAACCAAGTAGCTAGTTGCTGCACAATTAGGACAAGAGTTGCAACCACACCACATTTAATCATGTCAATTCGTTTATCTTTCTTTCAAACCTTTGAAGGTTCTGATTTTGGTTCAATGGAAGTTTAACAGCATTTTTGAGTTTAAGTTTCGTTTTTGATTGCTTTAAGAACTCAAGCGAATTTTGGTAGCGCATTTTTCCTTAACTGTTTTTAAAGCCTTTTTTCGTTTTACTAGTTATTGGATGTAGGTTTTGTATCTATTTTTGTAGCTATGATCCCCGGCTGGTGTTGAACAATGCGGAGAGTATCAAGAAGGAGTGTGTGTGGTACAGCAGGGAGATTGACCCCCAGAACGACACTCCGTGGGTGGTGATGCACTGGAGGGTCCGGGCAATCTTCTTCGAAAACATGGAACTACATGACTTCCCAAGAGACGTAGGTCCCCCTGTTGATTTGGAAGTCGCTCACACAATTCCATAGTACATTTATTTAACACAAAACCACGGTTTACTGTTTTAGGTAGTATTTTACTACTTCAATGCGCTCTTACATGCATTAGAAAAAAATTCAAGCTAGAAAAGGAACGGATAAGTTCCAGTGTACCCTAATTATAAGTCACTAAAAAGAAAAGTTGTTTTTAGATCTTTCAATTTTTTGAAAGCTCATGGCCGCAGAGTCATTAACATTTAAAAGTATGTAACATATAACAATTTAGGTTATTTATTTATCAATTCGTAATTACCGCGTGTTATATCGACCACTAGGTGCAGGACATTAGTGTGTATGTGACGAGCGAGTGGGGAGCTGCCGACATTGAACTCATTTTGGATGACGTGCGCATGAGCACACTGGACATGGCCAACTTCAGGGACTCTCAGGAGTGGTTCCTGTTCAGACATGTTGAGGTGGAGAAGATACCAGAGGATCCGAACAGTACTGTCAAGTTGGGGTACACTGCTGGCTTCATTGTGGCCAGGTGCAGAGTCCAGAGAAGAATCAAGTGGGTTTATGCTATCAATTAATGTTTGCATTTTATAAGGTTCAACCTCATTTCGAACACGGTAAAACATATAGGTGTTTCAAGACGCCTCAACGCGTTGAGTGGGTGTCAGAGGCGGATTTGAGATTTCTCGAGGGGGAATTTTCAAAAAAAAATCAAAATTTTTAACGACATTTTTAGGTCGACTAAATTGGTGTTCTGAGCGCTATCAGACGGATACAAACAACCTATTTTTAAAAAATTATGTGCGCCGCAGACAAATGTTTGAAAAATTAGGATTTTTAGAAAATTTTACCAAAAAATCGCGTTTTATTGGCGCACGCTCCCCTTAAAATTATTGGCACTTAAATTTAAAAAATATAAATTTATTGGCTCTTAACAAAGAGCCTTTAGAAAAATGTCGGTCAAAAAAAATTGGCAAGGAGGTCAAGCCCCTGAGGGTAGGGCGATAGACAAACACGCTCTTCCCACTAAATCCGCCCATGGCGCTTGCATTCAACTCCTTGCCCTATCCTCGCTCAAATTAATTTGTTACTGAAAAATATATTTTATTTGTGTTGAACAAATTCAGTTTTATTTTTTCTATGAAATTTTGCTCTTTATATGCAGGCTCTTTATAAAACATTACGACCCGTGTCGAGAACCCAGACTCATGACCAGTCCTTGTGAGTTGCGCCGCATCCGTCCGGATCCAGACCCAAATTGTGTAGTCGCGCCGAGAGCTTGAGTTTGGAAAGACTGGACATGATTCGCGCCGCGGATCGCAAAATTCGGGACATACCAAAATTTGGTCGCAAAAGTCTAGACATGGGTCGCAAAAGTCTGGACCCACACGGCGCGACAAACTATGAAATTTGGGTCTGGATCAGGATGCGGCGCGACCTACTGCGCGACTTTTCATTGAATCCAGACTTTCCAGACCGGCGATATCAAATTATGCCTGTTCCAGACTTCTCCACCATGGTCGCAAAAGTCGCGCGCACTCCGCCGTTGTCGCAAAGGCCGCACCGTCTCCACTATGGTTGCAGAAAACGCGCCGTACCCACTTTGGTCGCGAAAGTCACTCCGTCTCCATCTCGGTTGCGAAAATCTGGAAAAAAAATTGTGGTCGCGTCGGCCAAGCCTGTCACTTCGTTGAATTTAGCGTCGTGGATTTTCTGAGTCGCGTCGTCGCCACCTTGGTCCCGATAGTCGCGCCGCCTCCGCCTTGGTCGCGAAAATGCGAAATGGCTGAGTTTGGTCGCGCTAACCGTGCCGTTTCCTGGCCCTCTCTGTCTCGGTTGCGAAAGTCGCGACAGATCAAATTGGTCGCGAAAGTCTGGAAACGCTAAGTTTTGGCCGCGAAAGTCTGGACTTGCCTTAATTTGATTGCGGTAGTCTAGGCATTTCAAAAATTTGTCACTTAAATCTGGACATGAGTCGCGGACCTTAACTAGGGGAGGCTAGACTGTGCACAAGACAGGCGCACAGTTTGGTGTATATAGATCACTGGAATCCAGAGACAAGTCTTTAAACATATAAATTAATTGTTGGAACGATCAAAGGAAACAAAAGAACAAAAAATTGATCGTTTTGTGGATTCTACTTCCTATTCACAAAATAGACAGTTTGGCTTCGTAATGAATTTTTTTTCTTCTTACAATTTTTAATTTGATTGACAGGTACTATGTGTTGAACCACGTGAGCATCATGCTGTGTCTGCTTGTTCTCTCCTTCAGTTTCTTCACTTTTGACCCCGTGTGGAATCTGTACAGAATAGGAAATGCCATGACCCTCCTTTTAGTGGCTGTCACCTTCAAACTCTCAGTCGCAGGCACTCTCCCTCCCATTTCATACCTCACTTATCTCGATGTGAGTAAAAACTAGTCGACGCAACCTGCACCTGTTTTTTTTCACTTTACATCGTAGTATGTGAGGTGTGCTATAGAAAGCCTTATGTATGCCGAACGGTGAAAAATATGATCGGAACCATCTGCACATCTTTTGCACTTTTGTTGCGAGTTAGTTTGTTGAACGAAACAGTTGTTGGTCATAACAGTTTGTAAATTTAAATTTAGCTCATCTTATACTCATCAAAGATTGTAGTAGTGCCGTAGTGGATCGGAATAATCTGTGTATTCATTTCCACCTTGCATACCCATATCGAGTTACGTTAGATATGACAAAGGTAGGACTATAAGCAACTAACATAGGAATCGATTATATTGACAATATTTTACATCATGAAAATCCATTATAATCAATTTGTTTCCACTTTTATTGCGGGAAGCAAGGCGTAATCAAATACACAGATTGTTCTGATCATTAATGGTACACTATACTCTACCTCTCAACCTTTGATGAATGTAAAAAAGAATTACTTTAAAATGCAGAGACTGTTACTATCAACAAATATCTTGCTCCGCACTCTCCCTCCACTCACATATCAGACATCACTCATATCGATGTTGGTTTGAAAAGTTAAAAGATGTTTTTTCCGACCAGGTTTTTTACGGTTCGGCCCGCATAAAACTTTCTATAGATTACTACGATGTGAATGAACAAAGTGAGACAAGATAAGCCGGCTCTAACCTTCAAGTTGCACAGATCGTTCTAATCCCAGTTTTTATTGCAAATTTTGTAAAAATGAACAAAAATTGAAAGATTTTTTGAGTTTTGCATGTTTTTTTTCTGGAATTTTGTAACATTTTTTTGGATTTGACCATCATTGCTGGTTGTGTAATAGTTATATAGCAAGGCTGAGAACGTTTCTTTATAATATAGTTCGGCATGGGCAGTGGCAGTGACCATTCACCAATCAGCAATCAAGACCTATTTTTTCTAGAAACTGAAAATTTGCAGGTGAAATTTTTACTGCAGCAGATCGAGTCGAGTCTAAAATGTTTGAATACCGTACATAATGCAACTTCGTACTACGTGCCTGTAAGCTTCCTGATTTTGCGCGGCAAAGTACGCACCCGAATACTAAGTTCCTTCACATACCATGGTCGGAACTTTGATCATTGCACTGATAGGTTTGCTCAAAATCAATATTCCTTCATCAGAATTAAAAGATCAAAGCTAATGAGAGTGGGTGGTTTCTCCAGATGGAATTGGGTAATTTTTCCAGATGAAATTATTCGGCCAAAAGAAAAGAGCAAAAGTATCAGTTCTTCGCGTGGAGCGTATTTATGATTTTTTCTCCCTCCATAGACGACCGAAGTCCCTATTCGTTCTATACTATTTTAGGATACTCCACTCTGTTATGTTCGACCAATCTAAACGCATATTTCCCGTGCCGATGTGCTCGATTTATGTTTCGACTTTCAAAGCCGATCACATGTCAGTGCTCGATCAAAAAATATTAGTCGAGAGGTTTGCACGGATTCCAAACATACAGCGAGCACGGGCGAAACAAATCAAAATCCGGTCGAGCATAGTCAAAACATACCTCGAGCACGGTCGATACATACTTCTAGAACAGTCAAAAAAAATACTGACTGTCCACTTTCAAAAATCATTTTCTCATTGTCAAAAGTTTTTTCCCAATATCAACACAATTTTCTCTTTTTGACTCAAATTGAAATTGAGAACCAGAGTATCCATAAGATGAAAAAACTAAGCTGAGCAAAGAGCATCTCCTCAAAGCATTTTGATGGAAATAACCCACTAACTTCATTCTGATAAAAAGCATCCTAAAAAATTACCTGAAAAACTTAAACTATAAAGTTTAGGTTTTGATAATTAATGATAACTGAAAATCGAAACATCCCGCAGTGAGAAAAATGGATAAAAATCTAATATCTACAGAAAAGTATACAAATTTCAAATCTGTTGTAATTTAATATAATAAAACTTCGATTATGTAGTTTTATGTTATACTGAACATCATCATTATACAACTTTTACCAAAACACTCAAAAATTTTTTTTTCTGTATTAAATTTCATGCATACTATATGCAGATCGTATGCAGATTATATGCAGAAGATCTGCATATTATCTACTGATTATCTGCAGATTATATAAAGACTTTATACAGATTGTAGATATTTTATATACAGATTATATAGTGTTTCTTCGCATACTGGCCAATCGGATAAGATGAGTATTAATTAAACTGTAATATAGACCTTTTATTGAAATTTTCGTAGTGATGTTTTTTATGAAACAATTTTTAAAATCTTTTTTTTTGTGGAAATAGTTGCAGCAAAAACTAATTGTTATTCTAAATTTTTATTGATATTTTTCTCACAAAATTGCGCTGAAAATGTTGGTATTATAAATGGTTTTTGAAGAAACTTTGCGACCTCCTAGGTTGCAAAAGTTTAAAGGGATCTCTTGAAACTTACAGTTTGCGGTAAACAATTTTCCTCGAGTGACTATAACACTGAGAAAAAAATTTCCTGTGCACAAATTTGTGGTAGATTTGTAAAAAAAATCTCTTGTGTAAACTCTGGTTAGTCATAATTGAAATTTTTACGACCCCTATAATTTTTAGGCAGTATAATTAAATTTATACCGATTTTATACAGATTATAAACAGATTATCTACATTTTATCTACATATTATCTACAGATTATATACAGGTTTTGTGGTAATAGGAATATATACTGACTATATGCAAATTACCAACAAATTGAATGCAGGTTTTACAGAGTAGGAAAATTGATCATTTTGGCTTTAAATCTATTCGTTTTTGGTGGAAAAAAATAGTTTCTATCTGTATAGAATCGATTATTGTTCGCAACATGGTTGTAGATAAATCGAATCTACACTTACTTTAATCTGTAGATTTTTTGTATTTAATCGATTTTTATCCATTTTTGTTAAAGCGGGATACACGAATTCGGTCGAAACGGTCGAAAGATATCTCGATTGTGTCGAGCACGGTCAAGCACATTCTTTTCGATCGAGCACGATTGAAACATATTTTGCTTGAGTCGAGCACAGTCTAGCACAATTTTTTCCGTCAAACACGGTCAAAACATACCCAACATGATCCATTTTTAGCGTAAAATTTTGGTTGAGAATTTCGAAAATCAAAACATAATAATTCTGGTGAAGGTCTAAGCAACTCTTTATTCTCTTCACTTGTTATCTCATCTCAACCCAAGTTGAAAAAAAGCGTTTGAATTTTCAAAATTTGTTCGTTTTGTCCAGGTTAATTTAAATCAGCACTGTACATAAACTAATTTTGTTTGGACCACTTTAACGCAACTAAATTATTTTTCTATTTCACCTGAAGTTTTTTCTTCATGCTATCAACTTAACGTTTAGAAGTACATAATGGGCGGGATGATCTACTTGATCATGTTGTGTGTGACCTTCGCCCTCATATCTCCCTGGAAGGATATCCCAGACAAGGCGGAAGTGATTGACAGGTACGTGATCAGAAGCATGGGCGCTATTTTGATCACGTTCCACTCCATGTACGCCTTGCAATTCTATATTCACACCAACAAAAAGATCAACCAGATGAAGCGGAAGGACCATATCTATTTAGAACAATTGGCAGAAGGGGTGGTAAGCAGAATCTATTCCCAATAAACGTTACAAAAAACTTCATGTAACCCATCAATCTGCATTGAATTTTGTCGATTAAAAGTGCGATCAAGGTGAAATGTTTAGACCGTCAAATTTGCAACCAAGACTCAAGAGATCATATTTTGAGGAATATTGCTTATTTTCGCTTTTGTTGCCCATAGGCAGTAGGCAACGTTTTCCAGCCTAGGAAAATAAACAAAATAATCTAAAAGATTATTATAAGACCCTTTTTAAAAACTCACTCATAAAAAAATGGTTATGTTACTTCAATAAATTTCAGCCGAAGCGGACAAAAAGAATTCGCATTGACAATGGAGGCTCAGAACATGATAGCGACGGACTCCTCGAGAGTCGCTGCTGACAAAAAACGTATCAATATTACTCCATCGGTTAAAAACATTTTTGTTCATCCTCTATCAAAACAGAAATTATCACATCATTTTAGCTCAGGCTCTACTTTTTTGTATCGCTTTCAGAAGTCACCAGAAGTTGTTGAAGTCTTCATGAATTATAATTGATACAATTGTATTCTATTACTGATGATATTAGAATAAATGATTATGAAACATTTAGTAAAATTACAAACTTAACGACAAACAAACTATTCATTATAAAACGGAAACCTACATGATAATGATTTCATAAAGTTACAGTTGAGATATTAAATTAAATTTCTATTTTTCTTCTGCCGTGCTAAGCGTAAGATATTTCAGTCTATCAAGGGTTCCGTTCAAAGTGAGAATCAAAGTCAGAGCCAGAACCACTAGAGCTAACATCGAGACGCAAAGCCATGTTCCATGGAAGCCAAGGGACTCCCAAAGGATCCCGCCGAAAATGAACGCTCCTAGGCCTCGACTCAGAGAGTAGACTGCGTTTATGAGTGACGAAACGAGAAGATCCACACTCTCGACAGATTCGATATCGAGAAACGCGAACCTTATGAATCTGTAAATGGGTGCGATGAGTGATGCGCAACTAAGCGGAAAGCAGAATAGAAGAACTGCCTGCATCCAAGCTGGCAGATGTAACCATAGGCCGACACATCCAGTAAGCAAAATAACACTTGATCCGACTATTATTTTGTAGTGGCCTTCGTCGTAAAGAGTGCCACAAACTAGAGAAGTGACAGTGTAAAGACCGGTAGTTCCGAGCCAGAGCGCGGAAACGGCAACTAGGGGGAAAGGTTTGTCAAAATAGGGCGAAATACTGACTTCAAAGCACCCTACTGCTATACATGGCACAGGTAAAATCAAGAGATAATATGGCATTTCAGTTTTGATCATAACTTTTTTCATCAGGGAAAATTTCCCGCCCTCGACTATGTTGTATTCTAAGAATTCATGAGCAGGTCCGTTTTCTAATTGTTGGGATTCCTGATAAAACACTAGAACAGTAGCTGCAATTATACTGAAGGTTCCTGTGAATAGAAAGGGATACAGATACTCATCACTGATTGCCAGGATTCCAGTTCCAAGAGCTGGACCAATCATGAATCCAGTTACTCCTGCACTGTTCACAACCGCAAAAGAAGTGCTGATACTGCCTTCTCCAAATCGACCAATCACAATTGAGAGTGCGGATATCCAGGCTACGGAGAAGCAGCCTCCTTCTAAGTGACGTAATATGATACACGTCGGGACTATACTTGCGGAGTCGAATGTTTCCATGACGAAACCAAAGCTGAAGCTAAAACAAAGATAAACCTAAAGTAATATAAATTTGTTTGATAATGGGCAAGATTGAGATAAAAAAAGAGCCGGAGGCTGTACCTGCATCACAGGCTATTCTGATGTTCCGATATCAGCAATTAATCACAGAATTTAAAAAAAAAACAGCGAATAAGAGGGAATAATACGTCTAAAAAATATAAGAAACGCTCTTCGTCTAAAACTAATTATTATTGGAAACCAAATCACGTCTGAAATGAAAAAGCATCAACATGATACTAAAATTAAAAATGAGCAACGAGGATAGCTGGTTGCTGTGTAAATCAGGGGCGGATCTAGAATTTTCTCGAGGGGGGGGGGCGGATTTTCAAAAATTTTTCAAAAATTTTGTAGACCTTTTTTTAGGTCGACCAATTTGATTTTTCGAGCTCTCCTCAAGCAATAAAAGGACCCTGTTTTGGTGTTTTGGCCAAATTTTGAAGAAAAAAAAACAGGCCAAAAAAGGCATTCTTAAGCACTTTTTGGAAAATTTTGACAAAAAAACAAGTATTTTCGGCGCGCGCTCCCACCTCAAAATTAATATATATATTAGCGCTGAAGGCATTAGTATATATGGAGGCCAGAATCGCAAGACCTGGGAAAGTTCCTACAATTTCCTACTATTGGGTTGCTATTTTCAAACTTGATGAAAAAAAACACTGAATTTAAACTGGAAAATCAAAAAAAAAACCTCACCAAATATGGATTTCTCAAAATAGTACAGAGGGGTCGGAAGGGGGTCAAATCCGCCCCTGGTGTAAATAGTATAGAGTGTTCTGAAGACAAAAACTTAAATTAAAATATAGTTAATCATAATTTAGAGAAAACAACAAAATTTGAAAAACGAAAAAGAAAACAAAAAAACTCACCCCTGTTTTTTGACAGCATCTTTTAGGTGAAACTTGAATCAAACCTGATATGTTTTTTTATATGATACCGCACTCACGGACAAAGGAGATTTGTATGTGTCTCATTATTCTACGTTGTGGAAACACAGAAACACATTCTAAATCATAGTTCATTACCACTGCTGGGCTTGTTTGGATTATTTGGACTTACCAGTTGCTGTGGAAATAGGATAAACAGTTCCCTAACCTAAAATCTAAATTTAAGTCTTATCTAAAAAAAAGTCTTAAAAATTTTCATAAAATAGCTATAAGCTTTAAACTGTGTTTTCTTGACCTTGAAAAAATGTTTGAAATTTTGTACAGGCCGATATTTTTTTCGATTGTATGTCTTAATGTTTTGGGTCTACTTGGAAAAAAGTAAAGATAGAATAGAAGATACCAACAATAGGTAGTAACAAAAACAGTTCAATTAAAAGTAAGTAAACTAAATAAAAAAGAATACATTTGTTTAGGCTCTTGAATTATGCTTCAGTATACTTGCCCGTACCCAGGGGATTTTCTGTGTAAGATCTGAAATTCTTCATTCTCAGATTTTGACAAGAATTGATAAATTTCAGATCTGAAACTTGGATCTGAAATGGAAAATTTCAGACCTGAAATAACCTTGAAAAACAAAGTTTCAGATCTGAAATCAGATCTGAGAAATCCTTTGTTAAATTATAATTTATGCATTTCGAGTAAAACATGAAGTTTTTATTTTTTGATGATTCTGCAATACATAAATATGTTTAGGTTAACTAGCGATCAGAAAATTTCCGAATTTTTTCACAAACAATTTTTTTTCGAACTAAATTTCTTGTTCAACTGTGTTAAAAAGTTTTCAAAAACTGTTAGAACACCTGTACTAATTTTGATTTTCAAGCGCTAATTGAAAGTTTCCAATGTTTATCTCATGCTTGGGGAAACATACTTCGGCATTGTCCAAGTTGACACTTTGCTGAGTACCTGCTAGTAGCTAGCAGAAGCTAAAAATAAATCAAAAATAGCAAAAATGGAGTCCGAATCATTGAGTTTTCAGATCTAAAATAGCCAAAAAAATTTAAATTTCAGATCTGAAATAGACTTTTCCAGATCTGAAATAACCAAGAAAAAGAAAATTTCAGACCTGAAATTAGATCTTAAATAACCAATCCTTAAAAAATCCAAGCGTTATTTAAACATTTTACAACCTGTTTCAGATCTGAAATTTAGATCTGGAAAAAATTATTTCAGATCTGTTTTAGAAAATTTACTGGGTACGGGTGCTTAGTTGCTGATTGTTGCCTATATGTTCCAATGCAATTCACATCCACAGTCATCGATTCAATCGTTTCAATATGATATGCACTTCAATTCTAACTGGCGTTATTTTTGATACAGCATTTTGAGCCAATTTGAAACAAAGCTAAACCTGTTTTCTGATACTTCAAGGTAAGAAAAAAAAAACAAATTGAGCGAGTTCAACCATCCTCTTGGTTTTATGGCATTAAAAGTCGCTTCATATATTCGAAACTTTTGGCAAAAAAGATCCCATTTTTTCCAAATTTGAATTTGCCGAAAAAATTCAAATTATACCATGTGAAAGAATATCCCAGTTATTGACGCTAAAAACATCTTGGGACAGTTTTTAGTGGCAACTTAAAACTACTAATTCCGTTCAGACATGCCCTCAAAATCATGGAGAAATGTTAGCATTAGCAAATAAATAACGATATTTAGTTCCTGTCACTCATAACAACAAACATAAAAAACAGAAAAACAATTGAATTCAAAAATAGGGAAAAATTATTGTTTAAATAAAAGATTCTTCATGGAAAGATTTTGTCTATAAGAAATCTTGTTGCCAAAATTGTTTGCAACTATATGCAAATTGGCGTATTATGATGCCAAATGTTTGCGTGGTTTAATATTGGTATTGCTTACTTACATATAAATACACAAGATATAAGATATCTGTTATCTGATCAAAAAATTCTAGAAAGAAATTCAAAAAACCTTAAAGATTTCGAAAAAAAAACGTTCTTTAAATTGAAAAAAAAATGATTATATTGTTTAAAAGTTTATTACTATTCAGTTTTTGAAAAAAAATGTTGTTGTCAAATATGTTTTATTGGCTAATATTATCTCAAATGCCAAAGCTCACAGCTTTTGTTCAGGTGTTCGCAAGATACCCGAACAAAAAACCACACTATTTGAAAAACTGTTTTCTACTTTTGGAGGAAACTTTTTGTCTAACGTACAAATTTTCTATTAATATCAATTTTGTAGTTTTCGCTCAGAACTTCTTATCAAATCATATATGAGGAACGTTAATCCAAAACAACCTGAAAAAATGTATGAGACAATTTGTTGCCAAATATACATTATGTACTATTACTATCGAGGTTCCACATTTTCGTTCAGGGCCTTTCACCAAACCATCAACAAAAAAACGACGCAGTTTGTAAGACGACTCGTTAATCATTGTCTTCTAATATGAACTAAATCTTTTTCTTACCAATCACTGAAATTGGTCAGAATAACAGAACGCTCCGGTACCGCGACAGCTCGCAACAAAAGACAACTTGTAATGAAAACAGTTCGCAAAGTTTAAGGAAAACGACAACTCACAAAGATTAAAAACAATTCAAAACCTAAAAATTTCGGTATAAGGTTGCCAGTGGGTTCCCTACGCATGCATCCCGGCTTCACGGTGATGAACGGCTCTAAATGTTGTAACAGGTTGGCTCGCAACACGTTGGTGAGACTGCGGAGGTGAGTAAATTGCGAGAGTACTTTTGTTGCGAGTTGCTGCATCACGAAACACGCCATGCTTTGTTATTTTAAAGTCGGAACAATAAAATAACTCCGAACTTCGAAACAGCAAAGTAACTTCAGTTTAATATTTATGGAAAGATTTTTCAGCCTTATATTTAAATAATGTTTCAGTTTCATTCATTTTTCAGTTTTATGTTCATGGAGATTTTCAGTTTTATATTTATGGAAAGCGAAAAAAATTCTTTATTTAGAAAAAATGCTGTCTTGTAGGACTGCAGTACACTATCGTTCAGTTTATTTTTGTTACTACCAATTTCGCATAAATGTCATGCTTAGAGCATTTTGCCTTAATGGCATAACAATAGCTGCTTAATTGCAATCTTAAATTTTTGATTAAATTGCAATGGGTTTAATGGATTTAATAGAACTGTGAGATATACTAGCGCTTGCAAGAAGAATTTTCTTCCAGCAAAAAGTTTTCTTCCGATAACTGAATGAGCGTGTTGGCTTTGAACCTGAAATCAGTAAATGAAGTCTTTAGGGTTAACCGAAGATATTGCATAGTTACCTCTCTCAGTCTTCATTTCATTGTCATTACGAGACCAAACTGTGCTCTGAATAGAAGCACAATTTTGTGTCTGGAGGTGGAGCAATAAGCAGAATGGTCCAAGTGAAGTGCAGAAAAACCGAAAATATTAACTTTTATGGGTTCATACGGGCTAATTGATAAAAACAATTATCAAAATTGTCTTTAATACCAAGAAATAAATTATGCATGAATTGAGTAATTTCATTAAGTTTTTTATTTCAATTTCTAAAATATCTTAATTAAATTACTCAAATAAGGCATAAATACTAGTTTCTTTGGTCACATTGACAATTGCTATTTTAAATTTACCGATTAGCTTATAAAAAGTTACTATTTTTCTGTTTTTCTGCTCTTGGACTCATTCTGCTCTTAGACCGTTCTTCTTATTGACTGGCCACCTTTGTGACTGTATGTTCTTGGATTCCAAAGAAAAATCTTTAACCATGTTAAAATTTGGTCGGAAGGATCGAAGAAAAAGAAAGAACAAAAAAAGAACAAAACGAGCGTCCTTGTTGTGGAATCCGATTACAATTCTCAAAATGCACAGTTTGGCCTCGTAATAGTGCTAAAATGCAAAAAAAAATGCAGTCAGGTCTTTGTTTCTCAGATTTACCTACCAGGATACTAATTTATTTTTACCGCTTCTTGTTATCGATAGGTGCAAGAAAAGAAATTTTGCTGAAGTATTAGCTTGCTTTCAAATAGAGCCTAGCAATTACCATTTGCTTTCAGAAAAAAACCAGATGTGCACGGACAGATTTGTTATCGCTAGAACTCATAGCGAGGAAAAACAGGGTCGCAACTTATGAGTTTTCTGGTGAAAAGTGTGTGAAAAAATACAAACGACTGACCGAAACAAAATTCACACGTTTTTCAGGCGCTGTTTTAAAAATGATTTATAAAAGTTTTCAGTTTGCGACCTTGAGTTCTGCATTTAAACACCGAAATTTATGGCAGTTTGTTATACTTTGTTGACTTGTATTTTCCGAATATTACGGTTAATTTGCATAAGAAATGAGCTGTTGTCAATCAGCCAGCTACCCGAAATCGATATACCTCGAAATCTACTTCGAAAGCCAGCTACCCGAAATCGATATACGAAGTACAATTAAGGTCCGCCGACTCGGACAAGAGCAGTCCCAGGATTTGAGAGCTGGGAACGTGTAAATTCCAGATGAAAAAAAACGGTTAAAATAACCAATAATTAATCAGTTTTTTAAATGTGAACCAAGTAATCAAAAATTGAGTTTCCTCAGACAACAGACTTCAATGAAATTATTTAAATAAAAGCCTTGTCTGAGCTGAGACAATAAATAGCCTAATTTTAAAAGTGCTGGCAAAACATGCGTACCTTATGAACCCAGACAAAAAAGTGGCAGCCATCAGAGTTCTGTAGAGATGTCCCTTCAGGTACTTGGCAAACAACGCACCAATAAGAAAGCTCGAAATCATGTTGCCAGAATCAAACGAGCCAATCACACAGCCGGTGTACGTTTTAGACCACTTCGCATGTACTTTTTCGGCGAAAACCGAAAACACTGGCGCGACTGACGAACAAGTGAAATTGTGCGATATTATAGCCAGTAAAATTGGAAATATGCCCCAATAAGGACTATTTCTAATCGCCGAACAAAAACCTTTTGCTCCACGTTTTGAGGCATAATCGTCTTTTTCTTTGCCCAAAACGGGCGTGTATTCATTTTCATTTTCGTAATAATGATTTTCCATTTTTTCAGTTTTTTGAAAAAAGGGCGTAAACTTTTCTAATTTTTGTGTTAGGCCAATTTGCTCTCACAAATTTTGGAAAGTGTTGTTATTATTTATTGAGGCGCCAAGTAAAAGTATGAATAAATAAAAACTATGAATTACAAGCTTTTTGTAAGATAATCGGGATTTTTTGAAAAAATAATGTACGAATGGAACAGAAGTTCTAAGCTGCAGCTGAACTGCACGCCATACCGGAAGTTTTAAAAGCTGATTTTTGAAAATTTGGTCAAATCATTTTTTTCTCATATAATAAACTGAGTTATTTATTCATCAATAAGCCATATAATTCGTAAGAAGTTTAATCAGCCCACATTTTAACATCAAAGTGCAATAAAAGAAAAAAATTGAAACTGCTTAATTTTTGGAATCCGTCTTTGGTAATGATTTTTTCCCATTTGGCAAAAAATAAAAACTGCTAAGGTTATTTGCAATCAATTAAATTTCAAATTGAGGATGCAATCAACGGCGAAAAAAGGGAAAGTAAATTATTGCAAGAAACACAGATTGATCTGTAATCAATTCGTCTGAAAGTAGTGATGCAATGAAACAAATGGCTTGATGAAAAGTGACATGTAAAATGGTTGTCAATTCATCAGGAAATGGATCGTTAATGATCATTTTCATAAACTAGAGCAATATTAGTATAATCATGATTGGGTATAAAATAAGAAGTAGCACGGCTGGAGTTTCCGATCTGAAAACCGATTTATGAGATTATTAATGGTTATTGAATATAGATAAAAGCTTCCCAGTAGAAATTGTACCACTTGCAATTCGAACATAGATTTTTATCATGATATATTTTTCTAGTTTTTTCGAAAATGTAGCTAAATTATTATATTTTCAGTTTAAAAAGGCCTCCTGCTATAATTTCAGGGATATAATCGGAGGTGTGAACAGTCGCTTAGATGTAAGCAAAACTAGGCAATTATGAGGCAGGATTAAAAGAAACAAACGCTTTGACTCCTGGGGTTAGAAAAGGTTAAATTTTTGGTGTGGAAAAGAATAAGCCGGGGGCAAGGCGTCGGAAACCAATTATGCAAGCCAGGAGCAGTTACCTTTTGTGAGTTAAAGAGTTAAGAAGGGCAGGGCAAAACAGTCACCCTTTAGTTGCCATATTATTGATGCAAACCATTTCAAAATTTTTGACTTGACGGGAAAAAGATAATCGTGCAAAAACTAGCTAATATTTTGACGCATGATCGACCTATCGTCAAAATGTTCAGAATTATCGAAAAATAAATTCGAATATTTACAAAAAGAAACATGATCTTTCAATTTTTTTTAGATAGAAATACTTTAAAAATTTTTATTTTTACATTAGTGTTGTTTACATTAGTGTTGTGATAAAAGGATCTAAAAAGAAGCCTAGCTTTTAGGTATATTCGACAGTCATAGTAAAATAAGCAAACTGGGAAGCAATTTTCGCCAAGAAAACTAGAAGATAAAAAAACCCATCAAACCAAACAATTCAATGTTTTTTCGAACTTTTGAAGTTTTTTATTCTCAAGATGGAGTGAACAAAAATTCGAAAAATCTTTTTACGTGAGCTAAGCTTAAGATTCGCAGTTTATTCTTGTGCATTATTCCTGCTCGCTCGCTTTACTCGCTGAAATTTGAAATAAACTCAAAACGTGTAGGCAAATTTTTCTCAACATTGAACCATTTTTTTGAAAAATTCTCATTAGTTTTCGACTGACGACTGAAAGGTTTTTTACGATGTTTTATGATTGTTCCATTCTGAAGATTTTTTATCAGATTAAGTATTTAAAGCAAAAAAGTAAAAAAAACACCAAAACATCCGAATACAAAGCTGCTCCTCATTTTCAATTGTCATGACAACAGGAAATGCCGAAAAAATCAGACAAAAATTTTTGTTGAAACTGGAAAAACCTAATCTTATTTTAACGTTTTCAAGTTGAGACACTTTTTTGTGCTTGGTTGAAAAAATAAATTCAATGATTCCTGTAACTTAATAAAAAAAAAACATTATTGGCTGAGGAGCAATTTTTTTTCGGAAATTTTATGGTCAATCAACTCCCGCCTGAAGCGGCCTGAATTTACTAGCTTGAAGTTAGACTGAAAAGCAAAACTTTCTCAAACCTATTTATATCATAATATGGAATATTTTAGAATCTTTGAAAATATGTTCGAATCAGCATTGAAAGCGTTTTCGTTTTAAGCAAACAATCTGATTTTATTTTTATAAAGTTGAGACAATTTTTTGCGCTTGGCTGAACAAATAACTTTCTAAGAATCCTAAAGCTTTAACAAAAACAAATTTTGACTGCAGATATCAATAAAAAATTAGATTTGTTCTAATAGTTTTTGTAATCTTTTTTGCTTTCGGAGTGTATACGTGAGCTCCTAAGACAGATTTTCCACAGCTACATTTTCAATAATTGAACATTAAAAATCTAATTGTAGCTTAATAGTGGCTTTTTTAAAATTGCTCGATTGTTTTATTCGCTCAAAAATTGAATAGAACTCAAAAAACTAAGACTAATTTTTATCTTAAATGCAAAACTTTTTGGAAATTTTTGAAGCTCACGACTGAAACGGCCTATCATAATATATAAAAAGGGCAAAACAACACATTATTGTTTTTTGTGATACTTGATTTTGTAATAGAAGCAAATCTAAAACAAGATCAAAGATAATGTTTCTTCCCTTTTTCATTGATCGGAACAATGAAAGAACAATATTATTGTAAACCTAGGACAGAGCAAACCAACCTTTTTTTCAAGTTTGCATTTTTATATTTTGGATATGAAGTTTTGAGATTCTTGTATCGAACCAACCGCACTCGTAGATTGAGACGCAACTGTGGCGTTTATTTTCATTCGGTTTTAGGTATTTCAAAAAGAAGTCTTTTTCAATTGTAATTCAGTTGTTAAAAAAATGTTGGATATATGCGCCAGAAAAGAAATGTTGATATGTGTTGGATATATTTGTTCTTCTAACTTTCGTAACGAAAGTAACAGAATATTTGTCCTCGGGGTGGGTTTTTTGTCATCAGACATATCAACTTTTTAACTAGCCATTTTTGACAGAATTTTTTAGATATCATTCGAAAGCAATTGTTGTCCGGAGATTGAAATTGAAAAGATATTTCTGTTGTGATCATTTTTCGTAATTTTATGGGGGTTTAAAGATTGCCATTTTGGCCAATTTAGGACAATTAACACGCAATATATTATAATTAACGCGCGATAAGGGGAGATTTAATCCGCTTTAGAAGTCGTTCCAAATTGGTTGAAAGAAGCTTATTTGCCGTAATTGATTTGATAAAAGGAGCAAAATTTATCCTTTTGTACTTTAATTGGCGTGTGGGGGGATGATTTTAGCATAAAATTTCAAATTTTAGAAGAAAAAAAAAAGATTTTAATTTTATTTTATTACATTTAGTTTTTTTTATGTTAGTACTGCTCCATAAATCTTAAAAATCAGTCGGAAAATTCAGGGCTTCGCCCTGATACGAGCAGTCTTGTTGTTCCGACTTTCGATACGAAAGTAACAGAATATTTGTGCTCGGGTTGGGTTTTTTTTCTTCAGACAAATTTCGACTTTTTAACTAGCCATTTTTGATGGAATTTTTTAATATCACTCGAAAAGTATTGTTGATCTGAGCTTAAATTTGAAAAGTTATTTCACCTGTGATCATTTTCGTAAAGTTAAGGGGGTTTAAAGATTTGCATTTTGGCCAATTTGGGACAATTAACGCGCGATATATTTCGCGCTATTAACGAGTAAGCGGAGAGTTAATCCGCCTTAGAAATCGTTCCAAATTGGTTGAAAGAAGCCTATTTGCCATAATTAATTTGCTACAATGAGCGAAACCTACATTTTGTTTTTTATATGGCGTGTGGGGGGATGATTTTCAAAAAAAAAATTCAAATTTCAAAAAAAAAAGTTTCTTTTTTTTTCTCACATTTAACTTTTTAATGTTATTACTGCCCCATAAACCTTAAAAGGCAGTCGGAATTTTCAGGGCTTCGCCCTGACACGAGTAGTCTTGTTTTATTTTAGAAAAATTTTGCTTCAATTTCTTTGCACATGTAATTCTAGTTTTAACAACCGGCTACACATCTAATAAGCTTCTAATGAACTTTGGAGCAATATGCCGCTATTGAAGCATAACAAACTCTGCAGTTGCTGAGCGGTAAGGAGACAATACGTTGAAAACGACTACTGGTCGATGACAACAACTGGTAGTATATAGAAAAGACGGCATTTCGAAACCAGACATTTTCAAGTATCGACGGCGCTTTTACAGCAATCCCCTGAATTTAAAGTTGGCATGAGAGGATTAGTTCGCGCGAATCAGTGCTTACCTCTCAATCTACTGTTACAACTTGTTGCTTGGTTTCTTACCTTTAAACAATTGAAATTTTTCGTCCATTATTATAATTATTGCTCGCTGAAAAAATGCAGGCTTAAATTATTGTCTTTATATCGAAAACATACATTTGACTTATTGTCTCTTTATCAAAAACATTAGACCAAGAATTTAGAATTGTTAAACTGGTCTTAATAGATTGCAGCTGTTCTCAAAAAGAAACAACTGAAAATCAAAACAAAAACACGTATGTTTTCTAGAAACTTTGCTAAATTTGCAGATTTTTGAATGTTTTAGAATGTAATAACAAAAAATCCGAAACTATTGTAGAAAACGTTTTCAAAAAATGATAAAAAAAATCATCGAGCAAAAACTTAAGAACTTGAGCACTTTTGTTCGAAAATTCAATAGCATTATAAAGCATTATAAATTAAATAAGACCGCAAGTATCAAGGCAAATACCTGAATAGTCTGGAGGTCCTTAAAAATAAGCAAGGTAATTTTATGTTTTTTAAAAATTGATAGTTTTAGAAAAAAAATTTAAAATTTGAATTTTATCTACGTTTTTGAAAGTCTCCTTTCGCGCGATGTAAACTGCAACTTAAACTCTACTACTTAATATCAAGTTGCGCCTTAGTTAGATCAATTCAAGTCAAAACTGTTTGAAAAAAAAACTAATCGAGCCAAATGTTTCCATTTACTTAATTTCAAAGTCGATTGGTTATACACTACGATTTACTTTCGGTTGAGCGTTCGTAACTACAAATGAAACAGCCATA